GTGTGTGTGTGTGTGTGTGTGTGTGTGTGTGTGTGTGTGTTCACATGCAGATGCTGTGCAGAGCTGCCTCTGGTCTGTTATCTTTACAAAAGAGGAACAACAGTGTATTTGCAAAGGCTCTTTTTATTGTGGCACACCACTCCGCTGAAAACAGCTTGAGAGACTTAATTTAATGTATGATTGTGGAAAAATAATTAATCAAAATATACTTCATAATTAGACTGACCAAAAAGAAGATTGTTCCAATTTCAGCACAGGTTCAACAATTTTGCTGCCGTGATTTTAACCCACTCAAAAACAATAATGAAAAATAGTTAGATGAGTGAATAGCTTTTAGAACTACAGATGCAAGAAAAACTCTGGTCATGTCTACAGGTAACTCCAGTGGGGCTTGTGTTGCAGATGTGAACAGTAAAGCACATTTTTCTCCCTACCATCCAACAGATGCATCGTTACTGAGAGGCTTTGGTTGTGGTGATGCAACCATTCAAAACTTTTTTTGCTCAGAATATGAGTATAGTTCGGAGAACCAACTTTAACATTGTCGCTTCATCATTGCAGATATGCCTCCCGGCCTTTGGGAGGAGTCAGCATGTTCCTGTGCATGCAATGGGCTCTTTTCCAAGTACTCCATTTTCCTCTCACAGACCAAAAACATGCATGTTAGGTTAATTAGCAACTCTAAATTGACCCTAGGTATGAGTGAGAGTGTGAATAGTTGTGTGTCTCGCCTGTCTCTATGAGTACCCATCCAGGGTATCCCCTGACTCTTGCACAATGACCCCTGGAGACAGGCATCAGTTCTCTCACAATCCAGAAAGGGAAAAAATAAAAGTGTCAAACAAATTAATGGATGACTAGATTTAAGGAGTGATGTATGGGGTGCCAAGCACTTTGATACAGGCTGTTAGGTCCCCGTACGACCAGTGCCAGAGCTTGGTCCGCATTGCCGGTAGTAAGTCAGACTCGTTTTCAGTGAGAATTGGACTCCACCATGATTGCCCTTTGTCACCAATTCTGTTCATAACTTTTATGGACAGAATTTTTAGGAGCAGCCAAGGTGTTGAGGCAATCCTTTTTGGTGACCTTAGGATCACATCTCTGCTTTTTGTGGATGATGTGGTCCTGTTGGCTTCATCAGATCCTGATCTCCAGCTCTCACTGAGGCAGTTCACAGCTGAGTGTGAAGCAGCTGGGATGAGGATCAGTGCCTCCAAATCCAAGACCATGGTCTTGAGCCGGACAAGAGTAAGGTGCCTTCTCCGGGTCGGGGAGGAGGTCCTTCCCCAAGTGGAGGAGTTTACGTATCTCGGGGTCTTGTTCACAAATGAGGGAAGAATGGAGCGGGAGATCAACAGGTGGATTGGTGTTGCGTCTGTCGTGATGAAGCGAGAGCTGAGCCAGTCTACTGAGTGAGTCTACTTTCCTACCCTCATCTGTGGTCATGAACTTTGGGTAGTGACCGAAAGAATGAGATCACGGATACAAGCGGCCGAAATGAGTTTCCTCTGCAGGGTGTCTGGGCTCACCCATAGAGATAGGGTGAGAATCTTGGTCATCCAGGAGGGACTCAGAGTAGAGCCGCTGTTCCTCCACGTCGAGAGGAGCCAGTTGAGGTGGTTCATCTGGTTAGGATGCCTCCTGGACGCCGCCCTGGTGAGGTGTTCTGGGCACGTCCCACTGGGAGGAGACCCAGAAGAAGACCCAGGACACGTTGGAGGGACTATGTTTCTCAGCTGGCCTGTGAACACCTTGGGATTCCCCCAGAAGAGCTGGTCTAAATGGCTGGGGAGAGGGAAGTCTGGGTCTTTATGCTTAGGCTGCTGCCCCCGCACAACATAACGTACGGATGGATGGACCTAGATTTCTAAGAGACTAACTACAAAACTGCATGGGTGCAAAATAGCAATTTGATCAGAGGCCTCATTTTTAAACTGCAGCTGTTTTAAAGAAGTATAAATCATTTGGCCACTCGCCTTATTTCTAAGACCTTTTTAACCAAACTTTTCAAGACGGATGAATGTTTATGTGGTGGGCAGCGGGTACTATGGCAGCTTCTGCATTAAATCTGAATACATTATGCCTATGACCTTGCTGATGGAGAGAAGGAGCAGAGTAGGCCTTTTTTAAATATTATTCCTGTCATTTACCAAGCTTTAAATCAATTATCAATTCAACTGAAAACTTCCCATTTGTAAAATCATCAATAAGGATGCTCGTGCACTTCATCTCCTTGGTTTCCATGACAGCAAGCGGACGATTCTGGATTTTCACCCTCCATTAGAATCGCAGCCAGTTTTGGCCAGAGCGAGGATCAATAGAAGTATTGTTGCTCTCAGGATGGCTTGTCTTTCCAGGAAGTTGCTGCGGCAGTAGGGGTCTGATCAATGACACTGACAGAGACAGGACGGTGTGGGGCTGGGAGAGCTGCACATGCAAGCCCCCATTAAAAAATAATAATAATTCAACTGTTATTATCAAGTTATTTATTGAAACCACAGCTCTGACACAAAACAAAATCTACCACGAGTGACACTCTATTGTGTAAACGCTATTGTTTATGGCAAATCGGGATCACGCCTGCAGAAATTTTGTTAAGAGGGAAAGTTTTTATAACCTGAAGGGACTAGAAATGTTTGTAAAACCTAAAATTTGAACAAATTTGAGGGACAGATGTACTTCAGTCCAAGGAATAAGATAATGGAATAATCTGGAAAATGGTTATAAAAATGCTGGTTCAACTAATTTGTTTAAAAAAAATGACCAAAGTTAAATTGTTAAAGAAATATGAAATTGTTTAATTTTTATTTGTAAGACTTACTGTTTGAGGAGTTGAATTTTGTTTTATTATTTGATTATTATTGTTTGAAATTATTATTTCCTCGAAAACAGGGGCAAATATTATCAGATTTTTTTTCTTCTTCTGGTACCTTTCATTTTATTTGATTTGTGTTTTGTTGTATGTGAATGTGTTTTGTTTTATTAAAATTAGATGCTCGATATTGACTTTTTGCCGATATTCGAAATGACGATATTGTTAAACACTTAATTTCTGATTCTAATATTATCCGATATTACAAACCGATATTAAGGTGGCATCACATTTCTCCTGTCAGGGACATTATGCCATTTAAATCAAATCATTTAACTTAAGTTAGGGAAAAATGCCATATTTATTTTTAACATTTTGTCTCAAACAATAGTTTGGATCATGCTCTCCTCTGAGATAATCCAGCTTGATGATGTCATCAATCGTGCACCGGTGAACGTCTTTGGACCATAAGTATTAGTTAACACATTTTGGTCAAATCCAGGCATTAAATTATCGGGCTTTTATTATCAGAATAAAACCAATACTGATATGTAGAGATTTTACATTTTTATGCTAATATCGGACCTATTTTACCTGTAGACCGATATTATCGGACATCCCTAATTAAAATGAAATGAATATAATTATAAATAAAAAAAGAATAGGTTGAAAAATGCATTTCTCATACATTTCAACATGTGTGTCTTCTCCCGGACAAACAAATGCACACATACATGTACAGACTTGAAAATCAGGATGTGGTCTGTAAAAAAAAACAGTGTTTAAAAAAAGAATGGTAACTTCTGCCTCACAAAGGGAATTTCCAGATGCTGACATACATCTGATCAATCACATGACAGTGACAGACATAAATCTAAGCATGAGTAACACCTTCAGTTTTTCACACATATGCTCTTTAGTTACTGACTCACCAATGACCAATAAAGTCTGAAACCAGACAGTAGGAGTGTGATTAAAGCAAAGCTCAACATAAATATCAATGCAAAAACGACGAGGGCGGCTGTGGAAGGAGTTTTGCACGTCTTCCAACGAAGGTGTCCAGAAACACCGAAGCTTTTCCACCAACCCTGAAATTAATCTGAGGTAAATTTCAGACGAGGGGGCTGGATTTTCATCAACTGAAGGCAGCAGAAGTCACAAAGAGAGAGGTTATCACCCATCGCCAAAGGCAAATGTCTGTGCATGTGTGTGGCTTCAATGACTAAGAAATTGAGGGCCACTATGTGTTTGCAGTGAGACACTGGCCTGTAAACGCAGTGAGCTACTTACGCTGACTTTGAATGCCTGCACAGTGTTGTCCAGCAGCAGTACGTTGCACACAACTTGTGTGTGCTGTCTGTCTCGCTCCAGCTCCGTCGCCCGGACATTATAGGATCTGCCAGCAGGCAAGCGGAAGCGCGCGCTCATCACGCTCCTACCAGGGTCTGCAACAACCAAAGGCACAGCAGAGAAAAAAGGGAAAAAAACACGATGAGTGAGAGGAATAAGAAAAACAAAACGCTGCTTCATTAAAAGTTGTGGTCTGAGCTGTACATTTTTGCTAACATTTCGAAATCTGTAACGTAATCATACACAAAAAAAGGATTCATTAAGGACACATTGCTATGGCACATGTAATATATTTGCCTTTCAACCTAAGGAGTGATGCAAGCCTCTACAAGCACAGTGAGATAGAAGAAAGTATTTCATCAGGAAAGAATGTCAGCAAATCTAAGCTAAGCTAAAATGCTCACTAAGAGCGAACGTGGTTGGAGTTTTTCGTTTTGTTCAGATTTTATTGAACACACCACTGAAATTGGTTCTGTCCACCTCCTGCTTTATTTTGTGTGTGTGTGTGTGTGTGATCTATCATGACAGGAGGCATAATGAACCCACAGGGGTCACGGCCTCATAAACAGGGGCTGCTGGATTTGGACCGACGGCTCTGTGTGAATGTGTGCGTCGGTGTAAAGTGTATGTCGAGGGCTTGCGGTGCACGTGAACGACTTGTCACGACACATCAGCACAACTCCCCATGACCACTGGCAGATAGTGTAGATATACACTCGTACACAGGACACTTAAAGTCACACTGCCCACGCTACACACAATAAATCCATGCAAAATGAACGTTTTGCAACAATATTACTCTGTAAAAATATAATCGTGATTCGCAAGCAGAGCAGGTGGGAAAAAATGTCCTTGAGGAGGCGCTTTTCAAATTACACTGCTGAAGTTCACATGGCATAATTTAGTTTTTGGCTAAAAAGCTACACAAAAGGTCTGCTGACCTTGAATTCGGTAAGAAAGCACTTTATTTCACCCCTCCAATAAAAGAAAAACTAAATGTTGCACATGTTTTTCCATTATTTTTGTTTTGATTCATCACATAGTCCATTGAGAATCTTTGGGATGTGCTGGAAAAGAGTCAAACTCTACCATCATCAATGCAGGATCTTGGTAAAAAAAAAAATGAATGCAACATTGAATTGAAATAAATCTAAACTTTGCAGAAGCTTATCCAAACAATGTCACAGCAAATGTGTGCCATAATCAAAGCTAAAGGCGGTGCAATGAAATATTAGAGTGTGACCTATTTTTTGGCTAGTCAGTGTTTAAGTTGTTCTGCTGTAAATGATTGCTGTATAAAGAGATTCCTGTAAGGACAATTATGTCAATAAAATCAATGGCCTAACATTCCATTTAACTAAGGCTGATATATACTCGGGAAGATGTTGTGAAATTTACTTCCATTGTTGCAGTTGTGTGATAAAAATGATGCATTGTTGTTCTCACAGCCTTCAAGAACTAATTAATGTGGACAAGCTGCTGGCAGAACCTTTGCTTGCAGGTGTATGCATCAACTATTGTGTGATTGGTCAGAATTTCGTAGGCCTGTTTTTGCAGAAAAGCAGTTTGTCGTGGGAAGATGGGCAGAAAACACGGCGAAAGGGTGTTAAAAAGACAAAATGGTCATGCGAGTATGTTCATAAAGTCATTTATTAATGGGCAGACATGGAACAGAAAACGATCAAGAAGTCTGTTGGATGTGGCCCGCCCGTTATTGGCTGCCATGCAATGATATACTGTCAGCTAACATCATGTGATAATGACCAACCAATCATAACCTGCCTCATCCTGATACGTGAAAATAGGTCAACGTGATGATGAC